CCGGCCATGCCAGGTGGGTATGAAGGAGGCACAGAAAAGCAAGGGAGTGAACAGTACTTGCAGTGGAGTAATCATAATGGTAGGAAAGTGATTCCCAATTCCAGCTGCACATTGGAGTCGCCCATGGACCTTTCAAACATCCAGATTTAATAGGCCTTTGATGGAGTATGGGCACTTATTTTTTTAATTTGTTTAATTTTTTTTTTTTTTTTTAAGAGACAGGGTCTCACTCTGTCACCCAGACTGGAGTGCAGCTGCGTGATCTTGGCTCACTGCAGTCTTGACCTCCCGGGCTTAAGGGATCCTCCCACCTCACCCTTCCGAGTAGCTAGGACTACAGGAGTGTGCCACCACACCTGGCTAGTTGTTTTTTTTACTTTTTGTAGGGCTGGGATCTCACTATGTTGCCCAGGCTGGCCTCAAACTTCTGGGCTCAAGTGATCCACCTGCCTCCCAAAGTGCTAGGATTACAGGCGTGAGCCACCATGCCCAGCTGGCATTGATATTTTTAAAGAGCTCCTCATGTCATGTGCTTCTAATGTGCAGTTGATGTTGAGAATCACTATATAGACCATTAATCTAAGCTGTGTCATGAGGGAAGATAGGAGGCTAATGAAAAAGTGAGAAAGTGGTGGGGTCAATGAAATTGAAATCACAAAAGCAGTCATAAATTATAGCAGTGGAGTACTAGAGCAAGTCAGCTGGAGGGATGGGAAGTCATGATTAGTAAGTAAATATCTGCGAGGTTTTGAAAATGGTCTAGTCGTGGGAGTGGATTCCCAAGACAGAGGGAAGAAGGTCATTGTAGGTGAGCAGGCAAAGAATGTGAGACCAGAATTTTGAGTAGAGTATCCACATGGACACTGAAAATTGGTGGAAAGGAATGCTGGGCCATGAGTTAAATTCTTCTATGGATGATAGGGAGTGACCAGGGTGGCAGTTGGGAGTCAGGGAGGGTGGTGTCACTACAGAGTGGCTCAGACAACCCAGGAAGAGGGCCCTTTGCCGGAGGAACAGGGAGAACTGGCCCAACAGAAACAATAAACATGAACATCACAGAAGACAAGTATCTCTTTTCCTGGCCTGGAGGGGGGATGAAGTCTCAGCTTCCAGGTAAAGGCTTCAAGGGATGGGCAAGCTAGTGTCAGTCATGACATGATGGTGGAAGAAGCCTTTGGAGATGGGGATGATGGAGCAGAGTCTACGGAAGACAGATGCGGAGTCTCAGAGACCCCAGTGGGTATCTGGGAGGGAGAGGCAGTGTGTGTTGGGGGGATCAGGTGAGACTGTGGGATTTACAAGAGAGATGTCATGAGAGGTGGTGGTGTCGAGGGACAAATGGGGAGGCTTGGTCTCCTGAAGAGGAATGGAGACCATGGGGACATGCAACAGGATGAGCTAGTCTCTTGCAGCACAGTGGGCCTCTTTCGATTTTTGTCCCCAATACTTAGCTCAATAGTATGGCTTCTAGCTAGCTGCTATCTCTGGCTTCACAGGGTAGGATAGGACTTTGGGGTGAATAAAACAAGGAAAGCAACCGGGAGGTGGGCAGAGTGGTGTTGTAAAAAAGGAGGTTGTAAAAAGGAGAGGGAGGAGCAGACATCAGCCCACATGTAGCAGACTGTCCTCCACAGCTGAAATCACATTGGGTGGAGGAATATGACCTGGGACACTGGTGACGTCTAATACGGGAGGTCTTCAGGCTCCATTCAACCCTGTCCTGCAACAGATGGAACTGAGGCTCAGATATGGGAATGATTTGTCCAGGTTCACCAGTCATGGGGAATGCCATCTTGAGTCCATAGCAGATGTGCAGAGGTCTCCAGGAGACCCTCCATGGGTCCAGGCCAGGACTCAGGCCCACCCTCCCTCTTCCCTCTGAGCCCCAGGATAGAGATGCTGCACAGTGACTTGTTGCCAGTGTCACTTTATTTGGAACATGCTAATGCCAAGTCATGGACCCCCAGTTGGGAGCAGGTGGGAGAGTGTGGGAGGACACAGTCAGTGCTGCCGAGTCCTATGATCACAAGAGGGACGGCTGTAGACTCAACCAGCGGAGCCTGTTAGTGCTTTGAGAAGTCACCTCCTAGGGGACACATGAGGGGGAGATGGGTTAGTAAGAGAAGCAGACTTGTCAGGCTGGTGCCAGGAGAAAGCCCAGAGCCAACACCAGGCCTTCTACTGTGCTCCACCCAGGCGGCACTGGTGCCTCCCACCTGTTTCCCCCTCACCTGCCACACAGTGGGACCTCAGGTTATCATATGGCAGGTACTTAACAGAACTAGGCACCTGCCAGCCACTTCACATGCATGCCTTCACCAGGTCCACCCAACAAGCCTGCATAGCAATGTTAGCCCTGCTTAAAAGATGAGGTCAGGGGGCTGGCCGCAGTGGCTCCTGCCTGTAACCCCAGCACTTTTGGAGGCCAAGGCAGGTGGATCACTTGAGCCCAGGAATTCAAGATCAGCCTGGGCAACGTGGTGAAACCCTGTCTCTACAAAGAAAACTTAGCCAGGCATGGTGGCTCACACCTGTGACCTGTGGTCCCAGCTACTCAGGAGGCTGAGGCGAAAGGATCACTTGAGCCCAGGAGTTCCAGGCTGCAGTGAGCCGAGACCACGCAACTGCACTCCAGCCTGGGTGACAGAGTGAGACCCCCTTCTCAAAGGAAAAAAAAGATGAGATCAGGGAGGCTGAGCAAGGAAACAGATGAGCCGGGGTTTGAACAAGGTACAGTTACTCCAGACACCCACACTTACACATGATAGGAGATGAAATGAACAAGAACACTGGGAAGAAGGAAAAACATGGACTAGAAGAACTCAACGAAGAATGATGGAACGAGGAGCTATGTGTGTGTTCCTGGGTCTAGTTCACAACACTGGGTCCTTGCCTAGGCTCCTTCCCCATCCCTTCCCTGCCCGGAGCCCTGCCCAGACCCACCCTGGCAGGAGCTGCACTGGCAGCTGTGGATGACTGGCAGCACCACGGGCTCTGTGTGGCCACCCAGACAGCGCAGGTTCAGGATCCGCACGGGGCTCTCCGGGTCTAGACGGTAGCTGCAGCAGTCACACTGGCTCTGCAGGTATGGCTCCTGGGCGAGAGGGAGTGGGTGAACTAGGGCCAAATGGAGTTTCCTCCCCTCTTGGCCTTTCCCATTTTAGGCGGGGTGGGATGGCGGGAGGGCCAGAGCACACCCTCTTCACTGAGCAGGGTGGCTGGGCCACTGCCAAGCCCCTTTTGCAAGAAGCCCACCTCCTTCACCCCAACTGTCTGAATGTCCAACAACCTACAGGTTAAACGAATCCTTTTAACGTGCCCATCAGTGCCTCCTGGCCGCAGAGGGAAAGACATACTCCTACCGCAAGGGGCTGAGTCTAGTGGGACAGAGACTTATATATGAAACTACAAATAAGTCAGTTCTAACTGCATAGTTCTGGTCCCAAATGCAAAGTGAGTTCTCCAAAGCAGATCCCTGTGCACTGTGGTTAAAGCACCTCTATCAGAGTCCTACGAACATATCATTTAATTTCATGTATAATTCTATTTATAATTTTGCTTTGAAATGGGTAGTACATTCGTACAATGCCAGGTTCAAAAACTGCCAGAGGTTATTCAGCAAAAAATTATCCCTCCAATTTCTATCCCACTATCAACTTCTTCCCTCAGGAAAAAAAACAAAAAAAAAAGCATCTCTTAATTACTCTCTCTCTTTTCTCACTCTATGTTTTAAAAATTCTAAAAGTGTGAAAAAAATTCCAAAAGTGATTTGGGAAGGTATTTCCAGGAGGTCCAGGATGCACCTGGGGGAGCCGTAGAGTGGCTGAGGGTTAAGGGGCTGTGTCTTTGGGGACCAGGTAGAAAAGCATCCTTGTCTTCCAGGATGAGGTAAACCAGGTGGACTGAGGTGGGAGGGACGGCCGCAGAGCACTGCGAGGTGGGCCCAGGGGCAGGCGGTAGTGGGAGTGGAGCTGGAGAGAGGACCCTGGCAGGAGGCAGCTCAGGTCACAGCTCATCAGGCTCAGGCTGAGGGGACTCAGAGGGGGCACAGAGCCCCTTGGATGATCCTAAGAAGGATCAGGGCTTCTGGGTCCACAGAGGGCAAACGCAGAGTGGAGCCCTGCCCAAGACTCAGAGCCAGCCTGGCTCGGACAGCTCGTGGGAAACGTGTGCGGTGATCCTCTCTGTAGAAAGGGCGTTCCGGCAGAGCCCTCATGCTCTCATGCACCGTGTGATGAGTTCTAATTTCAGAGGTTAGCTTAGCTCCTCCATGCCTTTCTTTGCTGGACTGCTGGCTCATTGCCTTGAGGGGCACAGCGGGCACACTCTGGGAATGGTGTGGGGCCACAGAAGACCTTTGTGGGAGGGGGTCAGGCACCTAGTAAAACCTCTGGGCCAACCCGCAGGTACACACCACTGCCTTGGGGAAAGCTCCGACCATCCGCCTCCCTGACTCCACTGTTATCTCCATGAGAAGCACCTTGTGCCTCATGGCCTCTGGCTGTGCCCAGGTCCCAGGCTCAGCGCAGCCCTCGGCAGCCACTGGCCAATGC